CGGCATTTCCGACAATTTTACTTAATGGATGAAATTCGATTTGCTTAATAAAAAATCCTGTTTTCTTGTAATATGCACAATTCGCCATTTTACTTACATTCGCCATAATTCCCACACTCACCTTAGGTGTCCCAGAAAATAGCTGTAATTCAGCAGTGATAAACTTTTGATCCGGATGTAATTATATCCGAATCAAAAGTTTACAGCTATTATCATAATTTCTGGGACACTTGCTCATTACAGCTATTATCATAATTTCTGGGACACCTGCTCATTACCAGAAATTTTTTTGGTCGTTCGGTAAATTACCTAACTCTTCGGAAACTACATTGCTGTCTTCGGACCTTCAGTCCGGAGGCAATGATATAATTTCTGAAGAGTTAGGTGATTTACCGAATGACTAAAAAGATTTCAAGTAATGAGCAGATGTCTCAGAAATTATGATAATAGCTGTAACCAAAATCTTTTTGGTCGTTCAGTAAATTATCTAACTCTCTGGAAACTACATCGCTGTCTTTGGACCTTCAGTCCGGAGGCAGTGATGTAATTTTCAAAAAGTTACCGAACGACCAAAAAAATTTCAGGTAATGAGCAGGTGTCTCAGAAATTATAATAATAGCTGTATCACTGCTGAATCAAAATTTATCGAATCGGCAAATATTTGGTTGGTCAATTTTTGCCAGATTTTCCAGAATTTATGAGAACAGCTGTAAATCTAATCAATCAAATTGCCAAAGGTTTAACAATTAGTAATTTATCCACTTATCCGCATTGCTATATTCGGTATAAAAAATGTAATTTTTTTAAAACTTTGTTCGGAACTTTCTCAACTACCACTAATTTATCTTGACAAAGTTTTTATTTAAATTCTACGACACTGTAAAATCCAACAGCTCAGTTGAATTCAAATAAAACAATTTCATCGGAATTGGTTAGGTGGTTGCCGAGAAAATTCGCTCAAATTTATTTCGCCTAGTTATTATTTTTTAAACTTTAAGTAAAATTTTTTTGGACACTACTTAATCAATTTTAATAAAATATTCAAATAAAAAATTTTATTATGATTGGTTAAGTGGTTGCTAAAAAATTTCGTAGTTTTTAATTTATAAATATGTTAAATATTTTCTAAAATTTTAAATATTTTAATTTTACAAAACCATAAAATTAAATAAAAAAATTTTATTGAGATTAGTTAGACAGTTGCTAAAAAATATTTATTTAAAGTTTAAAAAATTAATAATAATTTGTAAAGGTAATAATAGATATATTGTATAATATTTTAGAAAAATGGTAATAGCTAGATATTTTTATATTAATATATATAATATATACATAAAAATTATAGAGTACATTGAATTGGTAGTCTGAGAAGACCAGCTAGGGGGTACTGAAAGGGAAGGTAGCAAGTAGTTTGTGTGAACTCTGCAAGGACACAGAGTAGGTAATGGTAGTAGAAGTAAAAGTTGCAAATACTTGTTCTCAGACTTGATATAAGTTACTAAAAAACTAGATGATATATGTATAGAAATAAACTGCATTAGTAGGTTTACCATGAGAATAAAAAGCCCAATATATGAAAATATATATCTGCTTTAAAGTCCTAAGAGCAGGTTCCTGTTTAGTAATAATGTTTAATGATGCATGTTGATCAAAAAGTTTAAATAGAGGATCTCTAGGCAGATCTTAGATATAGCAATTAGTAGGTAACTATAGATAGAAATATATATAGTAAAAATTTAAATAGGTAATAATTAAAATTGTATATATAACCAATTATATTCTTATTAATATACAAAAGTTGAAGATATAGTTTATTAGACTGTACTAGTATTTGCCCAAAGTTTAATAAACTGTATTAAACCTTAAAATAGTCATCTTAATATTAAAAAAATTATAAATTACATTTATTTCTTACTTAAGGTAAAATCACACCCCTAAATTTGCTAATAAATTTGCAGAATTATATATAATATATGTATAATAAAACAAGAGAATATCTATTTCCACTATGGTATTTTGCTATTTCTACTATAGTTATACAAAATTATTATTTTTAGCATTTAATATAGAAAATATAATAAATTAATATAAAAAATTAATTTTTTAAAAATTAAAGAAGTTTTTTATTAAGTTAGAGTTATACATGCCACCGAAATAGATTTTTAAAAAACACCTATTTTGTTTCTATTGAAGCAATTTAGAATTTTTTATATGTAAAAACAAATTTTATTTAGGTAGTTATATTCTTTATAATTTTGTCTCTTCAAAAAAAGTATCAAAAAATTTCATCTTTTAAGTAAAATAGGTCAAAAATAATTGCATCTTCAAATTTTAATTTCGTATTCTAAAATCTAAAATAATTTCATTAGCATATATAGTTAGAGTCTGTTGAGCTTTTAAGTAAAGATTTTTCTGGTTTTAATAGTGGTTAAATCATCAAAATCAGCTTTGTGAATCTCAAGATACTTGGAGTTAAAGATATAAATATAAGGATTTAATATAAAAAATTTATTTTTTAAATTAAAGAAGTTTTTTTAAATTAGAGTTTGTTGGGCTTCTAAATAAAGTTGTAGAGAAGACTTTTCTGATTCTAATAGCCAAGATATTTAAGGTTAAAGATACAAATATAAGGATCTTCAAATTAGTAATTACACAAAGAATTATAGACTAAAATACTTAATATAATTACCAATTTGCAGATCCTTATGTTCGCATCTTTAACTTCAAATATCTTGGGATCCACAATGCCAATTTGATGATTTAACTATTATTAGAACCAAAAAAGTCTCTTCTACAACTTTACTTAGAAGCTTAAGAATTAAAATTTTCTTTAAATTTTAAAAACTTAATTTTTATTAGTAAGGTAAGCACACCTAATTTGATGCAGTTCTCGTGATCTAGTGATCACAGAGGCACGATTTCAGCACCATTCGATTCTTCTCAACGAGACGAGTCAAATGGTACTGAAATCACATGTTTACGATTACTGGATTACGAGATATACTCATTTAACTGAATTTCTTCATTTGGGCCTCTGAAGAAGTTAAAGTAACAATTAAATAACCGACTGTAGTATCAAATAAATCAGACTTCGTGCATTGTATAAAGTTATTTATATTAATCAATCAAATATGTATTTGTTAATTTTTGCGCAATTTCGATGATTTCATATTAATAAGGTGCCTAATATTACGATGTATTCCATATTATTGTCCGGGTAACTGGCTACATATCGTTATCATTACTATTTCTTACTATTTCTCATAATTATGTCCTATAACACAATTTCATCAGTTTAAATAAAATTAATAAAATTATATTTCATTGAATAAAATTACAATTCATTGAAAAAATTACAATTCAAGTGAAAAAAAAAAATTGCATAGTTTAAACATCATCGTTCTAACATCAATACAGTTACAAAAAGAAAAGTATTTGAATAGTTTATTCCTCAATTTTACATAAAACTATGCCACAATATAGCGATAATAATATCCGACTCACTGCTATTGATAATGCCCTTAAGGCTATTAAAAACTCTCCAACTAATCAAACTCCAAGCACCAGAAGTGTTGCAAAATTTTATAGCCTTTCGGAAGCCACCCTTAGATGTGCTATTAGTAACGATGGTCCCCTTCCTCGCTCAGGCCGTGTTAAGGTTTTGACAGATCACGAAGAGAAACAACTCGTCGGTTACTGCTTGAACATGCAAAAACTTGGCTTTGGGTTAACCAGGTCTGGCGTAAACCAGTACGTAATAGAAGTTGTTGGTAGAAGCAGATGACCCAATCCTTTCAGTAAAAATGGTCCAGGGCAAAAATTGTGGCAATGCTTCATGAAGGACCACCCGGAACTGTCATTTCGTGTACCACAAGCCTTAAACGAAGCCCGCGCACAAAAAGCAAACCCCATCATTGTTAATGATCATTTTAATAAACTAGAAAAAATCATTCAAGAATATGCGCTTACCCCTGACAGAATTTGAAACATGGTGCATTTTTTATTATTTTTTTTTTTTCTTTTTTTATTTATTTATTTTATTTTATTTTTTTGCAAGGATTTATTTTTATTTTTATTTTATTTTACTTTTTTTTTTTTTTCGTTCATGATTTTTTTTTTTTTTACTCTTCAGGATGAGACGGGCTTCGTCATCGAATCTCGACTTCAAAAAGTCATCACTAAAAAGGGCACTCGTCAAGTTTATCGGGTTTCACACAGCAATTCTCACAAACATATTTGAGTATGTCCTACCATCTCAGCCACCGGAACTTACATTCCACCATTAATTATCTACAAGGGAAAGCAAATGATCTCGGATCTTCTAGATGGCGCTCCTGCTGGTTCTGTCATGGGGTTTACTGAAATAGGTTATATGTGGGAAAGCCTGTTTCAAAAATATATTGAACATTTTATTAGTTCAATTTCTCTCAATCATCCTGTTTTGCTAATTATGAATGGCCACAAGAATTACGTCAATTATACTAGTATTATATTCTGTTTTGAAAATAATATTCTTCTTTATATCCTCCCCCCTCACACCACTCATATTTTACAACCAGCCGAATTACCGTTTGGCATATTGAAAAGATCGTATACTAAGGAGTGTGATAAGTTTAGAACTAATAACAATGATAAGCATGTGACGAAACATTCATTTGCTCAAGTTTTAGGTCCATCTTATCTTACAAGCTATACACCTACCGCAATATGCAACGCCTTCAAAACCACGGGGATTTGGCTCTTCAACTCCAGCACTATTAGCCCTGACCGTTTAGATCCCTCGGTCGCAACGGAACGAACTGATATTTTGGAAATTCTTGAACAATGGCTTCTTCGTCTTCACAATCTTCTTCGAAGTCAGTTCCAATTCATACTCCCTTTATCAAAGCAAATCTTATGAAAGAAGAATTAATATCAGAGATCATGTTGCTAAATCAAAAAGTTGTACAGTTAGAGGAAGAGATTGAAACTTACAAAAACCCTGGCACAAGTTCTTTGCGACAAATACTCAAGTATCCTTTGCATCATCGTTCTCAACCAACTGAAGAAACAGAAACCGATAAAGGGCAAGAAGGATCCCAGCTGCCGAAACAAAAAAGAAGAAAACCATGCTCTTTTCCCAGTTAGTCACACACAAAAGTTTGTTGCAACTGTTAAAGGAAGCGGAGAAGGAAGCAGAACAAAAAGCCAACAAGAAAAGGCAAAAAAAAGAAGTAGCCCTTCAAAAAAAATTGGCTTGTGAAGCCGAAATGGCACAAAAACAAGAAACGCAAAGAAAAAAAAAAGAGGATACAGAGCGTGCAAGGGTAGAAAAGCAACGTATTAAGGATATGAAATGGCTTGAAAAGGAGAAAATTTAAGGGTAGAGTATACATAGATCATTTTTCATATGATCTACGTGGTATATTAGATTTTTATATAGTAAATAAAAAAATGCTTCTAATAAAACT